TTAACGACCTGAGTATTTCAAGCCTGGTGCAAAGCGCATGATCGCACCGGCAAACGTGGTGCATTCCAGCCTGGGGTTTTTTCCCAAAGTAGCCCGATTCGCTCTTGGCCCGCTCATTTTCCATTCCGAAACAGAATGAGTGGAATTTTATTCATGTCCTTCGTCAAAACCGTAATTAATAATAGTGATAAAAAGGTTCGTTATTAGGAATATGGAAGCGTGGAGAGTAAATTTCGAAAAAGAATGGCGAAAGGGCAATTGCACTTGAATGCTAATCACAATCAGATACCACTGGCGCTCTTCGTAACAGTTGTAATTCTCTGTATCTGGCGGGATCACGATTATCTGTTTCCAGAAAGAATTTGCCAAAACGAGCTATAGAAGCTCTTAGATTTCATATAATGAAGTCGTTGTCCGAGTGGCGCTCGGCTTTTCTGAAGGAGGAGGACAATCCAGAGAGAAGTGGCATGCGGTAAGAAGTAACAGTTTCGTTTACAAAGAAATAGTAAAACACAATGAAAAATGTACGACGAGTTCATCCAACCATCTTTCAAAAAATCCTCTTGCTGTTGGTGCTTTTCCAATTGTCAGAATGCTGCTTCTCGCAGTAAGAACGCGACGCGACAAGTGCCCTCAGAGCAGCCGAAGCAAAGGCCCACTCTGCGTTGTAACAGCCCTGCTCTTCATCAATTTTCACTTGGCTTCCGCACTTCATTCTCGAAAAAAAACCAAGGAACATTTAGCCTGATGTTGTTTTTAAAGGGGCGGCGAAGGGAGAGGACGCAGAAGGAGGAGGGGAGAGCAGGCAGGTGGAGAACGAACGAGGAAATAAGGCATGTCTGGCGGTTTAACATATTTCTTTGGGTCAGCTAAATACTCTTGTAAACAGCTTTAAATATCACTTCTCCTTTTAAACAATGTTTCTAAGCCGAGAAACGAACTTCCACACGCATGAAAACAGTGCAAGCTCACCTGGCATTTCATGAGTTCGCCTCGCTCACTCCTCTCTCTCTCTCCGTTCCCCTACGACTCCTCATTCGTTCTAAAAACTGGCGAGAAAATGCTGTAACTGTGTGTACTCGCTCACTCAACAAAACGATTCAAATGAGGAGGTCCTCTAGAAAGCTGCTGATTGAGTGAAGGCGCTCGGGTGGACTGCTGAAGAAGTACTTAGCAACGAATGACAACCGGTCTTACAATTCTTATCACCTATAAATTTACTCCGTTAACATGCATCTGTCTCCGCAATTTGGTCCATACCACGCTTCTTAACATATGGTAACTCGATATCCCGGGCATGCATGCTGCGGCTTTGAAAACTGCTCACAGCACGAGGTTTGAGATGTGACAGTCTGCACCTCGCTCCTGGCATACCGTAAAGTGTAGTTTTGCATTTCACGGTGCACCTGCGAAAGCACAGCTCTACACCCCGGAAGATCCGGAAAGCCGTTTCTGTAAGCTGAGCGATTTAGTTAGTGAGTAATTCCCAAACGTACTGCAAACTACAGTTATGCGTTTTGCTGGAAATGTCTAACTCTGAAGACTGGTTTGCTTTTTGTCAAAATTCACTTTAGGCTATTGCCACAAATGCTGATCAAATTAGCAGTGAAAGAGAAATCGCTTCACAACAACAAAAATATTAAGAAAAAAAAGAAAATCTGATTAGATCTAACAGAGATCGATGTTTGCAAATCCACTGTCCGCAGCGTTGCACGAATCCTGCCATCAGTATAGCTATTATCACACGTGTCTAGTAGTGGCTGCAAATACCCTCGCATAATTTCAAACCCCTTCAGAATACCAAATGCCCTCGCATCCTGAATGGGTTTGAACTCAAATTTGTTGTTTTCTTAAGTGACCCTAAACAAATGAAGCATCCGTTCGCAACGATACAATGCCGGCTCTCGCTTCAGGAGAGCAAAAAAAAGCAACTGGGAAGCACCTGCACACAATACCATTACAGCATCACCTGATCTCCTAAGCCTGCTGACAGTTTCTGGTTGGCACAAATGCTACCACTCCCAGACGGCCACGAGCGTCCACATTTCCATAAGAGGAGTGTTTCTGAGGCAAAAACTTGCTCCATATTTGAGATGTAAAGAGAAATCACATATCAAGTGCGGTGATGTGCAAAAGGTGCCATTTGTTATGAAGGGATATCAAAATCACTGTCACAGGAAAAAACTTGGAATATAGACTGGAGGTACACGAAGTTCAGACAAACGAACCCAGAACTGAGGTAATTTAAGACAAAATTTAGCTGTGGACTCACCAAAATCCGCTGGGAAGTGTCAGTCATTTTCGGCGATACATTTACGTTACAGCTTTGGGATTCACTTAAATTTGAGCAAAAAATAGATGAAAAGCAGGCGACATCATCCACTTTGGTTGTGCAGCTCCAAGTCTGGCAAGCAACCGAGCCACTGGAGATGAATCAGTGATTAGGTAATAACAAGACACATGCATGTGCACATGAAAAAGCAATAATCAGTGTGCGCTTTAGGAGCACCGATGTTTAATCGTCACAGTTGCTATCCAAAATACGTGTTTTGTGAGACAATCCTGTCAGCTACTCCCTGAACCATACGTTCTTACCATTCATGCAGTAGCTACACAATGCACGTTATATAAAGCACCACTGTAGCTATGCTAAACCATAACACAGGGTGCCCAGACACTTTTTTGCAAGCAAAATGAGAAGCGATGAATGTGGAAGAGTCGGATGTGTGCAGCACACAGCATGGTGGATGGAGGCAAATAGCAGCACTCCAGGATACCGCAGCGCCCTGACAACACCCACACAGGCAGAGAGAGACCCATTGGTCAATATTATATGCAGCAGTGCTGGGACGCAGGAAGTGCCGGGCGTCTGCTGCTCAGTGCTATGCAGCAGATTTGCTGGATGAATATCAGCCGGTCGATGTTTAGAATTGGCGGCAAGTAAATGCGGTGACCGCTGGTTGGTGCGAGATCGGACTAGAAGTACGAGCGGGCACGAGTACTGTATTGGAGGCACCAGCAAGTGCATCCGCTGTGCAGAGAAGATATCTGGGAGTATCGAGCTGAGTGAATGTTGATATTGCCATCCGCAGCGACTTTTTCCTCGCAAATTTTGAAACACGAATGGCTTAACAAGCAACAGTACGTCGGCGCAGAGCAGTTGAAAATTTTTCCACCTGATGAAAGATTAAAAAAAAAAAAAACGAGTAAAATCTAAAAAAGTAATTAGAAAAAAAAAAAAGAGAATTTGCCACTGATGACCGATGTGAATGTGTTTTATCGCTGACGGATATTGTGAATGTGAAAAAAAACCTGTAAAGACAGAGCCAGCTTTTTCATACTGAAATTCCTGGAAAAGATACCAGGTTGAGCCGATGCTAATATGTATCATCGTCAGAGAATATTCTTTAGACAGAAACACACGAAAGGCTGTGCTGGATATAAAAGTGACACTGTCGAAAATTTCTTGTCGGACTGACCTTTGCCGAACTCGTTTTAGAATCCACTCTCTATTTTATCCGTCGATTGTGTAGCGCTGTTGGATCTCGCCATCGTCGGATTTTTCTCTTTTACCAGTCAGTTGTGGCTATCTTTTTGCACATCAGATAGTGCACGGAACACCGCCAAGGCCTCATTTCAGCTGAACTGCTTAGCAGTTCCCGTGCATCCGAGGCCTGTCATAAAGCCCACTGTCTTTAAATCTATTTTGTTTTGGCCGAATAGATGAATATTTTAACCGTTGGGTTACCTCTATTTCGGTGAAATCCTCGGAAACGGAGGCTAACAGTTATGTTGTTATCAGCAAGTGCAGAGATAGTGATCACGAGTTTGCTTTCAGTTTGAAAAAACAAGCATATTATCATGAACAAAATGCGGATTTGAAAGGCACCTTTAAAAAACTAGAAAAATTCGCGCTGCTCTATTTAAAAGGCCCTGCGAAGAAAATGAATACAAACTCGGTAAATGCTTTAATGAAGTATAATTAAATCCCTCCATTTTCTAAACTTCTTTCTGGTTTCAGCTACGCAGGACATTTATCATAATCCGTGAAATGTCACTGCAGGCGCATCAAGAAGCATTTGCGCTTGCTACACTAGCAGTCACCTTCGCTCGCTTCGTCCTCTGTGTGGATTATTCAAAAATCGTAAAATGGGGTAATTTTATTTCAGTTGCACCATTCTCGTCCTGAATTACTTTTAAAAATCCAAAAAAATCATTGGCGACACGCACCGGGCGGGCCCGTACGATCTTGTGTTTTTGAAGTGTTTCGTGCTGTAATGAGATCGCCTGGAAACCCTGTAGCTGGAAATGTGTGACATACTGGCCCTCGAATTTCGAGCAGTTAATTGTCTATGCTGTACGTAGGCAGGGAACATTCCCTAAAATTTCAGTCTCCCAGCTTTCCCAGTTCCCGAGTTACCCATATTCTCACCAAAAACTTTCACGGGGCCACACGTGGCAGCCACGCATGTTCGAGGGCTGAGTTTGATAAATTTAAGTTGTACCATGAGCTTGGAACACTTCCTGAGAATTTCAGCCTTCCAGCTTCCCTGGTTCCCAAGTTAGCGATTTTCCCGCCAGGAACCCTCATGAGGCCGTATGCGGAAACGGCGCACACCTTGGGGCTGAATTTGAAAACATTGAGTTCTACACGGACGGGGAACACAACCTCAAAATTTCAGATTTCTAGCTTTTCTGGTTCTCGAGTAAGAGATTTTCCCGCCAAAATTTTCAAGCGCTCATATGCAGGCCTACACGTGAATGAGGGTTGCTACTGCGGTCTTGGGGTGACACTGGGCCGGGGACCACCCGCAAAATTTTGGAGCCAGAGCTTGCTTGGGTGCCCAGTTGAATTAGCCAAACAGTCAGACAGACACATACACGCACACACAGGGGTCGTCGCAATATGCGCTTTCACATTTGCATATATGCAAAAACGCATAATAAGTGAAAAGTCAGAGTATCAAATTCTTCCTCTTAGTGGGAATTTCAATAAAAAAATGCATTTAGAACGACGCACGCTTGTTTGTTTCGGAGATGTGAAAACTGCTGGTAAGTACAGTGCAGAATGCAAGCTAATGGTTGGCGATGATCCGAAACTACTGGACACTGAATGCTTCGACGAACAGTTTACTGAGCAATCATTCGGTAACGACAAAAGTGAGTCTGCTTTTTCAGTTCGCTGGTTCACGCTAATGATAAGGGCTGGAGATGAGACGCTTAGCCCCTTATTTTGTTGACCTGCCTCGAACAAAAAAAGCTCGTTAATTCGAGCTTCCTGTTCATAAAATTCATAAAATATGAACAGCAATCCTATTTTTTCTTCCAGAAGTCGCTAAATTTTCTTACTTTTGGGTAAACATAAAAGTCGGATGAAGGAAAGCGAATGCTAAATTCAGCCGCGAAACTAATCGTGAAGGTGATAAACTTATCTAAATAATTGACTAACGCACGGGCTGCCCGTGCGAGGGTACGTTTTTTGCACAGCTTCCCCCAGATTTTTGTCGCTAACGGCACTGGTTTTTCCGGTAGATGCTTCTAGCTAAAAGAATTTTAGACTGGCCGCCAGGACTATCAGGAAATATCCGTTCAAAATTTCAGTCTTCTAGCTCCTCAGGCCCCCGAGTTAAGAACTTATCCGAAAAGAAATTTCCGGGCTCGTACATGGGTACCACGCTTACCCGGGGCTGGGTTTGAGCACATTAATACCTACTTGGACAGGGAATATCCTCTTGAGATTTCAGCCTTCTAGCTTCTCAGTTCCCAAGTTATCAACTTACCCGAAAAAAATTTTTATGGGCTCCTACGTGGGTACGACGCATACCCGGGGAGTGGGTTTGGGCTTACTAACACATACTTGGATGGGGGACATCCCCTTAATATTTCAGCTTTTCAGCTTCTCTGGTTTCTGAGTTAGCAGCTTGCCCGTGAAAAACTTTGGCGAGCGCGTACGTGGATACCACGCAGGTAAGAGCGCTCATTTTGGAGTTAGGGAGTCGTACACGCATGTAGATTAAGATCCTCAAGTTTCAGCCCTGTAGCTTTTGTCGGTCTCGAGATGAACAATTGGTACAGACGAACACACACACACACACACACAGAGACAACCCCTCATCAATATGCGTTTTATACGCTTTTTGCAGCTATGCAATGCAAATAATTGGCTAACGTACGGGCTGCCCGTGCGAAGATGCGTTTTTTGCATAATTCCCCGCAGTTTTTGTTGCTACCTGCACCGGCTTTTTCGGCAAATGCTTCTAGCTAAACAAATTAAGACTGGCCGCCAGAATTGTCAGAAAATGCTCCCTTAAAATTTCAGCTTTTTAGCTTCCCTGGTTCCTGAGTTAGCAACTTACTGAAAAAAAATTTTCATGGACCCGTGTGTGTTACCACGCATAACCAAGAGTTAGGTTTGAGCTGAATGAAACTTAGGAGGACGGGGTATATCCTCTTAAAATTGCAGTCTTTTGGCTTCTGAAGTACTCGAGTTATCAACTTGCCCGAAAAAAATTTTGCCGGGCCCGTACGCGGGTTCCACGCTTACCTGGGGGCACGGGTTGAGCTCACTAATACCCACTTGGGCGCGGGACATCCTCCTAAGATTTCAATATTCTAGCTTCTCAGATCCCCGGGTTATGAACTTTCCCATAAAAACTTTGGCGGGGCCGTACGCGGGTTCCACGCGGGTGTTGACGCCAATTTTGGGGATTGGGGTTCGTACGTGCGTGTAGATCAAGTTTCCAAAGTTTCAGCCCTGTAGCTTTTGTAGGTCTTGAGATGAAAAACCGTGACAGATGCAC